TTTTCCCCTCCCTCTGTCTCTCTTCCCCCTCTTCTCTCTCTCTCTCTCTCTCTCTCTCTCTCTCTCTCTCTCTCTCTCTCTCTCTCTCTCTCTCTCTCTCTCTCTCTCTCTCAAGAAAGCCATGAAGGAATCCTTCAAAATGCTCAGTGAGGTCTGTGTCTCAACAGTCACATACTTGACTATCAGTCATACAATGCTGTCTTATTCTTAGAAGCGTTAATTCCTTGCACCCTTCTGGTTCTGCTGGCTCAATATCTAATTGTTTGTTTGTGTGTGTGTGTGTGTGTGTGTGTGTGTGTGTGTGTACAAAAGTCCGTTCATTCACAGTGTATCCCTGTACATTAGCCTTTCATAAATAACATTGTCAATACCAAAATCTCAATTTACACAAGAGCATTATTATCATCTCTGGTCAGATCTCTTGAAGAAAGCTGAGGTCAAATCCCAGTTCTGCTGGAAGTGAACTTTTACCAACCATGAATAGGTCCGAACTAGCGACTGCTGCATCTTAGAGAGGATCTCGATGAGGAGATGGTCGAGGGGACTGGGGCTGGTTGGCACTGCTTACTATCATGTATTTCCCAGCACCAGTATACTGTATCTTACATATATTTTCCACATCAGGAGAAAGACCCAGGTCTTGGGTTGAATTGGGAACCCTTTTAATCCTCATATCTCATTCCAACATGGAGTTACAAGCAATCAAACACACTCTGACTACGTGTGACAACCAGCCCCATTGCAGCCCTATACCAGCCCCATCACAGTCCTATACCAGCCCCATCACAGCCCTATACCAGCCCCATCACAGTCCTATACCAGCCCTATACCAGCCACATCACAGCCCTATACCAGCCCCATCATAGTCCTATACCAGCCCCATCACAGTCCTATACCAGCCCCATCACAGCCCTATACCAGCCCCATCATAGTCCTATACCAGCCCCATCATAGCCCTATACCAGCCCCATGGTGGGGTTGGCTCAATCACAGCCCTATACCAGCCCTATACCAGCCCTATACCAGCCCTATACCATCCCTATACCATCCCTATACCAGCCCTATACCAGCCCTATACCAGCCCTATACCAGCCCTATACCAGCCCTATACCAGCCCTATACCAGCCCTATACCATCCCTATACCAGCCCTATACCAGCCCTATACCAGCCCTATACCAGCCCTATACCAGCCCAATACCAGCCCTATACCAGCCCTATACCAGCCCAATACCAGCCCTATACCAGCCCTATACCAGCCCTATACCAGCCCTATACCAGCCCTATACCAGCCCTACACCATCCCTATTCCAGCCCTATACCAGCCCTATACCAGCCCTATACCAGCCCTATACCAGCCCTACACCATCCCTATTCCAGCCCTATACCAGCCCTATACCAGCCCTATACCAGTCCTATACCAGCCCTATACCAGCCCTATACCAGCCCTATACCAGCACTATACCAGCCCTATACCAGTCCTATACCAGCCCTATACCATCCCTATACCAGCCCTATACCAGCCCTACACCATCCCTATACCAGCCCTATACCAGCCCTATACCAGCCCTATACCAGTCCTATACTAGCCCTATACCAGCCCTATACCAGCCCTATACCAGCCCTATACCAGCCCTATACCAGCCCTACACCAGCCCCATGGTGGGGTTGGCTCAATCACTGTCCTATACCAGCCCTACACCAGCCCTATACCAGCCCTACACCAGCCCTATACCAGCCCTATACCAGCCCTACACCATCCCTGTTCCAGCCCTATACCAGCCCTATACCAGCCCTATAACAGCCCTATACCAGCCCTATACCAGCCCTATACCAGCCCTACACCAGCCCCATGGTGGGGTTGGCTCAATCACAGTCCTATACCAGCCCTATACCAGTCCTATACCAGCCCTATACCAGCCCTATACCAGCCCTATACCAGCCCTATACCAGCCCTATACCAGTCCTATACCAGTCCTATACCAGCCCTATACCAGTCCTATACCAGCCCTATACCAGTCCTATACCAGCCCTATACCAGCCTTCCAGCCCTATACCCAGCCCTATACCAGTCCTATACCAGTCCTATACCAGCCCTATACCAGCCCTATACCAGCCCTATACCAGCCCTATACCAGCCCTATACCAGCCCTATACCAGTCCTATACCAGCCCTACACCAACCCTATACCAGCCCTATACCAGCCCTACACCAACCCTATACCAGCCCTATACCAGCCCTACACCAGCCCTATACCAGCCCCATCACAGCCCTATACCAGCCCTATACCAGTCCTATACCAGCCCTATACCAGCCCTATACCAGCCCTATACCAGCCCTACACCAGCCCCATGGTGGGGTTGGCTCAATCACAGTCCTATACCAGCCCTATACCAGCCCTATACCAGCCCTATACCAGTCCTATACCAGCCCTATACCAGCCCTATACCAGCCCTATACCAGCCCTATACCAGTCCTATACCAGTCCTATACCAGCCCTATACCAGTCCTATACCAGCCCTATACCAGTCCTATACCAGCCCTATACCAGCCCTATACCAGCCCTATACCAGCCCTATACCAGTCCTATACCAGTCCTATACCAGCCCTATACCAGCCCTATACCAGCCCTATACCAGCCCTATACCAGCCCTATACCAGCCCTATACCAGCCCTATACCATCCCTATACCAGCCCTATACCAGCCCTATACCAGCCCTATACCAGCCCTATACCAGTCCTATACCAGTCCTATACCAGCCCTATACCAGCCCTATACCAGCCCTATACCAGCCCTATACCAGCCCTACATCAGCCCCATGGTGGGGTTGGCTCAATCACAGTCCTATACCAGCCCTATACCAGCCCTATACCAGCCCTATACCAGTCCTATACCAGCCCTATACCAGCCCTATACCAGCCTTATACCAGCCCTATACCAGTCCTATACCAGTCCTATACCAGCCCTATACCAGTCCTATTACCAGCCCTATACCAGTCCTATACCAGCCCTATACCAGCCCTATACCAGCCCTATACCAGCCTATACCAGTCCTATACCAGTCCTATACCAGCCCTATACCAGCCCATACCAGCCCTATACCAGCCCTATACCAGCCCTATACAGCCCTATACCAGCCCTATTTACCATCCCTATACCAGCCCTATACCAGCCCTATACCAGCCTATACCATCCCTATACCAGTCCTATACCAGTCCTATACCAGCCTATACAAGCCCTCTACCAGCCCTATACTAGCCCTATACCAGCCCTACACAAGCCTATTACCAGCCTATACCAGCCCTATACCATCCCTATACAGCCTATACCATCCCTATACCAGCCCTATACCAGCCCTATACCAGCCCTATACCAGCCCTATACCAGTCCTATACCAGTCCTATACCAGCCCTATACCAGCCCTATACCAGCCCTATACTAGCCCTATACCAGCCCTACACCAGCCCTATACCATCCCTATACCAGCCCTATACCATCCCTATACCAGCCCTATACCATCCCTATACCAGCCCTATACCAGCCCTACACCAGCCCTATACCATCCCTATACCAGCCCTATACCATCCCTATACCAGCCCTATACCATCCCTATACCAGCCCTATACCATCCCTATACCAGTCCTATACCAGTCCTATACCAGCCCTATACCAGCCCTATACCAGCCCTATACCAGCCCTATACCAGCCCTACACCAGCCCCATGGTGGGGTGGTTTTCAAGTAACTATTTCATTTTGGAACAGGAAGCAATATACTGTAGCACACAGTCTTAGAAATAGCCTTTCTTTGATCGAACATGACATTTTATGCGTGAGAATAAGATATGACATTTGGAGTAAATGTTTGTGTGTACTGTATGTGTTTTGAATTAAAATTGTGTGTGTGGTGTGTGTGGTGTGTGGTGTGTGTGTGGGTGAGTGTGTGGGTGTGTGTGTGTGTTGTGTGTGGGTGGTGTGGGTGTGGTGTGTGAGTGGGTGTGAGTGTGTGTGTGTGTGAGTGTGTGTGTGTCGTGTGGTGTGTGTGTGGTGTGTGGGTGTGTGAGTTGTGTGTGGGGGTGTGTGTGTGGGTGTGTGGGTGTGGTGGGTGTGGGGTGTGTGTGTGTGTGTGTGGTGGGTGTGGTGGTGTGTGGTGTGTGTGTGTGTGGTGTGTGGTGTGTGGTGTGTGGGTGTGTGTGGTGGTGTGTTGGTGTGGGGTGTGTGTGGTGTGGGGGGGTGGTGTGGAGTGTGGTGTGGAGTGTGTGGTGTGTGGGGTGTGGTGTGTGAGTGTGTGTGGTGTGTGGGGGTGTGGTGATGTGTGGTGTGTGTGAGTGGTGGTGTGTGGTGTTGGGTGGTGGGTGGTGTGGTGGTGTGTGTGTGTGGTTGGGTGGGTGGGGTGTGTGGTGGTGGTGTGTGGGTGTGAGGTGGTGGTGTGTGGGGGTGGGTGGGGTGTGTGGGTGTGTGGGTGTGTGGTGTGTGGTGGGTGGGGTGTGGGTGGTGTGTGGTGGGTGTGTGGGGTGTGTGGGTGTGTGGTGTGGGTGGTGGGGTGGGGGGTGTGGGGGGGGGGTGGTGGGTGTGTGGGTGTGTGGGTGTGTGATAGAGAGGGAACAAAGGGAGCTCTTTATGGCACAAGAACAAAAGAGCTGGGGAACAAAGGGAGCTCTTTATGGCAAAAGAACAGAGCTGGGGAACAAAGGGAGCTCTTTATGGCACTAGAACAAAAGAGCTGGGGAACAAAGGGAGCTCTTTCTGGCAAAAGAACAGAGCCGGGGAACAAAGGGAGCTCTTTATGGCACTAGAACAAAAGAGCTGGGGAACAAAGGGAGCTCTTTATGGCAAAAGAACAGAGCTGGGGAACAAAGGGAGCTCTTTATGGCAAAAGAACAGAGCTGGGGAACAAAGGGAGCTCTTTATGGCACTAGAACAAAAGAGCTGGGGAACAAAGGGAGCTCTTTCTGGCACTAGAACAAAAGAGCTGGAGAACAAAGGGAACTCAGAAATAGGTGTGAAATATAGCTCTCCGTTTTCTCTTTTCAACAAACATATTGGTCATGGATACTCCCATCCTTCAAACATTTACAAAGAAAATACCAATCACTTATTTTTTTACTTTCACCTATGAAAAACAAATAAATTCCCCTCAACTCAATGTTCTGATATGCAGACATGAATTGACCAGGTGGATGAGTTTTTTCAAAGAATTCACACATTTAATTAGCACTGTGACAACCAACCCGTGAGACAAACAACCCCGGTCTCCGCTAGGTACAAGAATGGAACTAGGCTACGATCAATGCCAAGTTCCTAATTAGTCGTTTGTGGTAATTAACGGTAATTAAGAAAAGACAGTGCAGTCCATACACTCTTAGAAAGATTGTTCCAAAAGGGTTAAACGGCTGTCCCCATAGGAGAACCCTTTTTGGTTACAGGTAGAACCCGTTTTGGTTCTAGGTTAGAACCCTTTTGGGTTCCATGTGGAACCCTCTCTAGAAAGGGTTCTACATGGAACCCAAAAGGGTTCTTACTGCAACCAAAAAGGGTTCTTGAAAGGGTTCTCCTATGGGGACAGCCGAAGAACCCTTTAAGGTTCTAGATAGCACCTTTATTTCTAAGAGTGTGTACCATGACACAAATTATACCATTCAATTTAATGGTTTAGTTGTGGTATAGCAAAAGGAGGAGCATCTGTCAACAGTCAAACAGTCAAGGATGGTGAACACAGTAGAGAGAGGTAACACGTTAACAGACTGTTGCCGTGCGTCATCATGAATGCAGGCTCCATCCTCTCCTATCCTTGGAGGTCTTCTCAGGGCTGTTTGTTGAACGTCCCATTCAACAGCTCTATTACCGTGTGGGATTAAACCTGACTCCTTTCAGGTTTTTGGGATGAACCCTGCTGTCCCAAAATGAACCGTCATTTAGGAGAGATTAAAGCTGTTTCTGACTGCACTTCTGTCAATACCAATTAGATTTTGTGAGGTTAAGTCCTGCGGAACCCCACTTGTCCAACTAAGCTTCTTTGCCATTTGGCATGTCACATAGTAGATTTTACATTTTAGTCATTTAGCACACGCTCTTATCCAGAGCGACTTACAGTTAGTGAGTGCATACATTGTGAGCTACACAGGGCAAGACATTGTCTAAGGATACCATTCTAAATGTTACAAAGCACAGACCTAATATAGTTTAAGGATACCATTCTACATGTTACATAGTACAGACCTAATATTGTCTAAGGATACCATGCTACATGTTACATAGTACAGAGCTGACATTGTCTAAGGATACCATTCTACATGTTACATAGTACAGACCTGACATTGTCTAAGGATACCATTCTACATGTTACATAGTACAGAGCTGACATTGTCTAAGGATACCATGCTACATGTTACATAGTACAGACCTGACATTGTCTAAGGATACCATGCTACATGTTACATAGTACAGATTTGACATTGTCTAAGGATACCATGCTACATGTTACGTAGTACAGACCTGACATTGTCTAAGGATACCATTCTACATGTTACATAGTACAGACCTGAGGATACCATTCTACATGTTACATAGTACAGACCTGAGGATAACATTCTACATGTTACATAGTACAGACCTAATATTGTCTAAGGATACCATTCTACATGTTACATAGTACAGACCTGAGGATACCATTCTACATGTTACATAGTACAGACCTAATATTGTCTAAGGATACCATTCTACATGTTACATAGTACAGACCTGAGGATACCATTCTACATGTTACATAGTACAGACCTGAGGATAGCATTCTACATATTACATAGTACAGACCTAATATTGTCTAAGGATACCATTCTACATTTTACATGGTACAGACCTGACATTGTCTAAGGATACCATTCTACATGTTAAATAGTACAGACCTAATATTGTCTAAGGATACCATTCTACATGTTACATAGTACAGACCTAATATTGTCTAAGGATACCATTCTACATGTTACATAGTACAGACCTGAGGATACCATTCTACATGTTACATAGTACAGACCTGAGGATAGCATTCTACATATTACATAGTACAGACCTAATATTGTCTAAGGATACCATTCTACATGTTACATAGTACAGAGCTGACATTGTCTAAGGATACCATTCTACATGTTACATAGTACAGACCTGAGGATAGCATTCTACATGTTACGTAGTACAGACCTAATATTGTCTAAGGATACCATTCTACATGTTACATAGTACAGAGCTGACATTGTCTAAGGATACCATGCTACATGTTACATAGTACAGACCTAATATTGTCTAAGGATACCATTCTACATGTTACATAGTACAGATTTGACATTGTCTAAGGATACCATGCTACATGTTACATAGTACAGACCTGACATTGTCTAAGGATACCATTCTACATGTTACATAGTACAGATTTGACATTGTCTAAGGATACCATGCTACATGTTACGTAGTACAGACCTAATATTGTCTAAGGATACCATTCTACATGTTACATAGTACAGACCTGAGGATACCATTCTACATGTTACATAGTACAGACCTGAGGATAACATTCTACATGTTACATAGTACAGACCTAATATTGTCTAAGGATACCATTCTACATGTTACATAGTACAGACCTGAGGATACCATTCTACATGTTACATAGTACAGACCTAATATTGTCTAAGGATACCATTCTACATGTTACATAGTACAGACCTGAGGATACCATTCTACATGTTACATAGTACAGAGCTGACATTGTCTAAGGATACCATTCTACATGTTACATAGTACAGACCTGACATTGTCTAAGGATACCATTCTACATGTTACATAGTACAGATTTGACATTGTCTAAGGATACCATGCTACATGTTACGTAGTACAGACCTGACATTGTCTAAGGATACCATTCTACATGTTACATAGTACAGACCTGAGGATACCATTCTACATGTTACATAGTACAGACCTGAGGATAACATTCTACATGTTACATAGTACAGACCTAATATTGTCTAAGGATACCATTCTACATGTTACATAGTACAGACCTGAGGATACCATTCTACATGTTACATAGTACAGACCTAATATTGTCTAAGGATACCATTCTACATGTTACATAGTACAGACCTGAGGATACCATTCTACATGTTACATAGTACAGACCTGAGGATAGCATTCTACATATTACATAGTACAGACCTAATATTGTCTAAGGATACCATTCTACATTTTACATGGTACAGACCTGACATTGTCTAAGGATACCATTCTACATGTTAAATAGTACAGACCTAATATTGTCTAAGGATACCATTCTACATGTTACATAGTACAGACCTAATATTGTCTAAGGATACCATTCTACATGTTACATAGTACAGACCTGAGGATACCATTCTACATGTTACATAGTACAGACCTGAGGATAGCATTCTACATATTACATAGTACAGACCTAATATTGTCTAAGGATACCATTCTACATGTTACATAGTACAGAGCTGACATTGTCTAAGGATACCATTCTACATGTTACATAGTACAGACCTGAGGATAGCATTCTACATGTTACGTAGTACAGACCTAATATTGTCTAAGGATACCATTCTACATGTTACATAGTACAGAGCTGACATTGTCTAAGGATACCATGCTACATGTTACATAGTACAGACCTAATATTGTCTAAGGATACCATTCTACATGTTACATAGTACAGACCTAATATTGTCTAAGGATACCATGCTACATGTTTACATAGTACAGACCTGACATTGTCTAAGGACACAATGCTACATGTTAAATAGCACAGACCTGAGGATACCATTCTACATGTTACATAGTACAGAGCTGACATTGTCTAAGGATACCATTCTACATGTTACATAGTACAGACCTAATATTGTCTAAGGATACCATTCTACATGTTACATAGTACAGACCTAATATTGTCTAAGGATACCATTCTACATGTTACATAGTACAGACCTAATATTGTCTAAGGACACCATTCTACATGTTACATAGTACAGACCTGACATTGTCTAAGGATACCATTCTACATGTTACATAGTACAGACCTAATATTGTCTAAGGACACCATTCTACATGTTACATAGTACAGACCTGACATTGTCTAAGGATACCATTCTACATGTTACATAGTACAGACCTAATATTGTCTAAGGACACCATTCTACATGTTACATAGTACATACCTGAGGATACCATTCTACATGTTACATAGTACAGACCTAATATTGTCTAAGGATACCATTCTACATGTTACATAGTACAGACCTGAGGATACCATTCTACATGTTACATAGTACAGAGCTGACATTGTCTAAGGATACCATTCTACATGTTACATAGTACAGATTTGACATTGTCTAAGGATACCATGCTACATGTTACGTAGTACAGACCTAATATTGTCTAAGGATACCATTCTACATGTTACATAGTACAGACCTGAGGATACCATTCTACATGTTACATAGTACAGACCTGAGGATAACATTCTACATGTTACATAGTACAGACCTAATATTGTCTAAGGATACCATTCTACATGTTACATAGTACAGACCTGAGGATACCATTCTACATGTTACATAGTACAGACCTAATATTGTCTAAGGATACCATTCTACATGTTACATAGTACAGACCTGAGGATACCATTCTACATGTTACATAGTACAGACCTGAGGATAGCATTCTACATATTACATAGTACAGACCTAATATTGTCTAAGGATACCATTCTACATTTTACATGGTACAGACCTGACATTGTCTAAGGATACCATTCTACATGTTAAATAGTACAGACCTAATATTGTCTAAGGATACCATTCTACATGTTACATAGTACAGACCTAATATTGTCTAAGGATACCATTCTACATGTTACATAGTACAGACCTGAGGATACCATTCTACATGTTACATAGTACAGACCTAATATTGTCTAAGGATACCATTCTACATGTTACATAGTACAGACCTGAGGATACCATTCTACATGTTACATAGTACAGACCTGAGGATAGCATTCTACATATTACATAGTACAGACCTAATATTGTCTAAGGATACCATTCTACATGTTACATAGTAAAAAAAAAAAAAAAAAAAAGTACAGACCTAACATTGTCTAAGGATACCATTCTACATGTTACATAGTACAGACCTGAGGATAGCATTCTACATGTTACGTAGTACAGACCTAATATTGTCTAAGGATACCATTCTACATGTTACATAGTACAGAGCTGACATTGTCTAAGGATACCATGCTACATGTTACATAGTACAGACCTAATATTGTCTAAGGATACCATTCTACATGTTACATAGTACAGACCTAATATTGTCTAAGGATACCATGCTACATGTTTACATAGTACAGACCTGACATTGTCTAAGGACACAATGCTACATGTTAAATAGCACAGACCTGAGGATACCATTCTACATGTTACATAGTACAGAGCTGACATTGTCTAAGGATACCATTCTACATGTTACATAGTACAGACCTAATATTGTCTAAGGATACCATTCTACATGTTACATAGTACAGACCTAATATTGTCTAAGGATACCATTCTACATGTTACATAGTACAGACCTGACATTGTCTAAGGATACCATTCTACATGTTACATAGTACAGACCTAATATTGTCTAAGGACACCATTCTACATGTTACATAGTACAGACCTGAGGATACCATTCTACATGTTACATAGTACAGAGCTGACATTGTCTAAGGATACCATTCTACATGTTACATAGTACAGACCTAATATTGTCTAAGGACACCATTCTACATGTTACATAGTACAGACCTGAGGATACCATTCTACATGTTACATAGTACAGAGCTGACATTGTCTAAGGATACCATTCTACATGTTACATAGTACAGACCTGACATTGTCTAAGGATACCATTCTACATGTTACATAGTACAGACCTAATATTGTCTAAGGATACCATTCTACATTTTACATGGTACAGACCTGACATTGTCTAAGGATACCATTCTACATGTTAAATAGTACAGACCTAATATTGTCTAAGGATACCATTCTACATGTTACATAGTACAGAGCTGACATTGTCTAAGGATACCATTCTACATGTTAAATAGTACAGACCTAATAATGTCTAAGGACACCATTCTACATGTTACATAGTACAGACCTAATATTGTCTAAGGATACCATTCTACATGTTACATAGTACAGAGCTGACATTGTCTAAGGATACCATTCTACATGTTACATAGTACAGACCTAATATTGTCTAAGGATACCATTCTACATGTTACATAGTACAGAGCTGACATTGTCTAAGGATACCATTCTACATGTTACATAGTACAGACCTAATATTGTCTAAGGATACCATTCTACATGTTACATAGTACAGACCTAATATTCTCTAAGGATACCATTCTACATGTTACATAGTACAGACCTGAGGATACCATTCTACATGTTACATAGTACCGACCTGACATTCTCTAAGGATACCATGCTACATGTTACATAGTACAGACCTGAGGATACCATTCTACATGTTAAATAGTACAGACCTAATATTGTCTAAAGATACCATTCTTCATGTTACATAGTACAGACCTAATATTGTCTAAGGATACCATTCTACATTTTACATAGTACAGACCTGACATTGTCTAAGGATACAATTCTACATGTTACATAGTACAGACCTGAGGATACCATTCTACATGTTACATAGTACAGACCTAACATTGTCTAAGGAGAGCATTCTACATGTTACATAGTACAGACCTAATATTGTCTAAGGATACCATTCTACATGTTACATAGTACAGACCTGAGGATACCATTCTACATGTTACATAGTACAGACCTGACATTGTCTAAGGATACCATTCTACATGTTACATAGTACAGACCTAACATTGTCTAAGGATACCATTCTACATGTTACATAGTACAGACCTAATATTGTCTAAGGATACCATTCTACATGTTACATAGTACAGACCTAATATTGTCTAAGGATACCATTCTACATGTTACATAGTACAGACCTGAGGATACCATTCTACATGTTACATAGTACAGACCTGAGGATACCATTCTAAATGTTACATAGTACAGACCTGAGGATACCATTCTACATGTTACATAGTTCAGACCTGACATTGTCTAAGGATACCATTCTACATGTTACATAGTACAGACCTAATATTGTCTAAGGATACCATTCTACATGTTACATAGTACAGACCTGAGGATACCATTCTACATGTTACATAGTACAGACCTAATATTGTCTAAGGATACCATTCTACATGTTACATAGTACAGACCTAATATTGTCATTTGTCATTTGATGGGACATGCGAAGCAAAAGTCCAAACTAAATCTTGGTCATACTTATTATAATTATTCTGCATCCTACTCCTCTTAGCTTTCAAACGTGTTCACTGGTCTGGATTGAGTTTCTTACATTTTACTTTTTGATATATTTTATACTTTTTTAACTATTCAACTGTTGGTCCTTTTTAGTCCTCCATCCATTTTAATTGGATTTCCTCAACCTTCTAAAACGCCCCATTGTGACATCATGGCTTTTGACACAAATCAGCTGTTTTGACCATATTACCAACCAGTTGGACAAAAAACATAGATGGTGGGATGTCTTGGCCTACTTGTCTGCTATTCAAATCTGGAATCGGAACAGGAATAGCTTGTACAGATCTAACGACACAGCTGTTTTAGTAACCACCTCAACTCATTTAGCTAACTTTCCCACTCGCTGCTGAATTAACTGCCATGGAACTTTTAAGAACTTTCAAATGATAACAACGGGGAAGAACATTCTAAGCATGAGACAATGGGTAAACATTGTGACTTTTGTCACAAATCAGCTACTTTGACCACTTTTCCCAACAAACGCATCATGGACGAAAACTTAAAAGCGTACATGTCACCTTGGTCGACTTCTCTGATGTTCAAATCTGAAATCAGAGCAGCAATAAGTACTACCAATCACTATCCCCCCCCCCCCCCCCCCAAAAAATAAATAAAAATAAAAATACTTGTAAAGAGTTAAAGCAAGTCCCACTAATTTATCTTCATGGAATCTAGTTATTCATAATGTTGTAATTTGATGGATGTGAGGTATTGTCAATCTGTAGAGTGATTGCGTGATGGTGATTGTGTTTTTTGAAGGTTAGATATTGAATACTCCTCACCTTGTCCCAATGCCATTCCACTGACAAGTCTGGGACCCGGTTGCAGCAGCATTCCATTTAAATTACTTTTAACCTACTCTGCCACCAATGCCCTTTCAAACAAGATTATGGGCCTCTGAAATCCTCCGTAATTAGTCGTTTGTGTTAATTAACGGTAATTAAGAAAAGACAGTCTAGTCCATACCATTGCACACCCTGCCCTAATTCCCTCCAAGGCCATAATCCTTCCAAAAGACCCAAAGGATGGTATATAAACTAGGGGGCGTGGAGAAGCACAGATTGGACTTCAGCAGTCAACTTCAGAAACTCCTGTTAACCAGTCCAGGATGGCAGAGCTAGGAGTGTTTGCTGCAAGGCGACAAGAGGAGACGACGCGAGAATCCGGATTTTCCTACACCAACAGCAACAACACCAAAGGTACAGTACATCCCCGTCAGTGTAGTGCCTGGGTTCGTGACGTCATTCGGTAGAAGGACTGAAAATATATCCATGTGTACGTGTGTGTGTGTGTGTGTGTGTGTGTGTGTGTGTGTGTGTGTGTGTGTGTGTGTGTGTGTGTGTGTGTATAGTGCGTATGTTGTCGTGTGTGTGTTTGTACGTAAGGCGAATGAATGAGGGAGGTACATAACATTTAGCATGAAGTCACCCAGGTGTCTTCACAAGAAATCTCCCATCGCCTGCACTACTTTTTCTGTTACCCTCTGCTTTACAGCAGAAAGAGACTGCTATGGGACTTGGCATCAGCAGCATGTGTAGAGGACTGAGGGGGTTCTAAATACTATCATTGTAAATAGTGTGTAAATATATATATATATATATATATATATATATATATATATATATATGGTTTTTTCACTTTGTGTATGGTTTGTGGTGTGTTCTCTTATGACATTAGATCAGTGTTGGCTGCTAACTTGGCCCTTATCTTAAATAGTTCACTTCTGTGTTGGGAGGCATTGGATCAGCATTCTTCGTCGCATCTCCTGTTAGTACCTTTTATGTAGGGAAGCCAATGATCCATCATGTATGATATTCCTGGGAGTGTGTACCATTTGTATTTATTTTTTGTTCTTACCTTAGCATTTTTGTATGTTCTCTATAGTTATGTACTTGAAAATGTAGCAATTTACCAATTCGGCCACTTGGGTACATTTGGGCAAACTCGTGAGGGACACCTGGGTGACGTCATACTAAATGTTATGTGGCTCCCTCATTCTTGAAGGTTTCAGTCTGACACTTTGCACTGCTGCCCTCTTGTGGACAACATCTAAATGACCTCCGGCTTTCCTATCTGAACGTATGGCTTTTCGTTTTCATGTCAAAGATAGAAAACGCATGTCTTTTTTTTTTTTTTTTTTTTTTGTCTTTTACCAGATCTATTGTGTTATGTTCTCCTACATTCATTTCGCATTTACACAAACTTCAAAGTGTTTCCTTTCAAATAGTAGCAAGAATATGCATATCATCGCTTCAGGTCCTGAGCTACAGGCAGTTTTAGGCGGAAATTGAAAAGAAGGGTCACATTCTGTTCAACATATTGATTACTGTCCTCATATGACTACATCAATACATAATAAGCCATTTAGCAGACGCTTTTATCCAAAGCAACTTACAGTCACGTGTGCATACATTTTTACATACGGGTGGTCACGGGGATCGAACCCACTACCCTGGCGTTACAAGCGCCGTGCTCTACCAACTGAGCTACAGAGGACCACACAAATTTCACACATTTATATTCATTTTACATTCCGATATTATTTTTTGATCTCTTCTTCTTTTTCACAGATCCTTTTGAGGGCCCTAACTACCACATTGCTCCAAGATGGGTGTACAATATCTCGACACTCTGGATGCTCTTTGTGGTCGTCGCCTCCGTCTTCACCAATGGCCTGGTACTGGTGGCCACCGCTAAATTCAAGAAGCTCCAACACCCGCTCAACTGGATCTTGGTCAACCTTGCTTTCGCAGACATTGCTGAGACACTTTTGGCTAGCACCATCAGCGTTTGCAACCAGATGTTCGGCTACTTCATTCTGGGACACCCGATGTGCGTCTTTGAGGGATTCACTGTCGCCACTTGCGGTAAGATGCGTTTTTTTTTAATGTGGACTACATATTTTATTTCATATTTAAGAAGGAAATTCTACATTTTCTACACAGTGCTGAGAAAGAGTAATCGACTGTTGCTAAAGCACCATAGCATAGTGACAGTAAATCAGAATGTGATCTTTTTGTCTAATGTGTGTATCTCCTGCAGGTATTGCTGGTCTGTGGTCTTTAGCTGTCATCTCCTGGGAGAGATGGGTGGTGGTGTGCAAGCCCTTTGGAAATGTCAAGTTTGATGCCAAATGGGCCATGGGAGGAATTATCTTCTCCTGGGTCTGGTCTGCTTTCTGGTGTGCCCCGCCCATCTTTGGCTGGAGCAGGTGGGATTTGTTCTCTTTTTATGGAAAAAAAAAGTCCATTGTTCAAAAGGTTTCGTTATTCAACCCATCTCTGTATCTCTCTCCCGTCACCAGGTACTGGCCTCATGGTCTGAAGACTTCCTGTGGACCTGATGTGTTCGGAGGTAATGAGGACCCTGGAGTCCTGTCATACATGATTGTTCTCATGATTACATGCTGCTTCCTGCCCCTGGCAGTGATCATCTTCTGCTACATGTTCGTGTGGCTGGCCATCCGTGCTGTAAGTGATATTTCAAATATACTGTACTGTAGCAAGCAACTATGTCGTTCAATACAGTAATGGTCAAGTGTACCGTTTTGAAAATGCGTATTAGAGGGTTAGATCTAACCATCTGATACTCCTTCTGAATGACCACAGGTTGCCGCGCAGCAGAAAGACTCTGAGTCAACACAGAAGGCTGAGAAGGAAGTGTCCAGGATGGTCGTTGTCATGATTTTTGCTTACTGTGTATGCTGGGGACCTTATACAGCCTTTGCCTGCTTTGCTGCGGCTAACCCTGGGTATGCTTTCCACCCTCTGGCTGCCGCTCTGCCTGCCTACTTTGCCAAAAGCGCCACCATCTGGAATCCAGTTATCTATGTCTTCATGAACAAACAGGTTGGTGTGTTTGTCTGATAGCTGTGTATTTTGACCCATTAATAATAAAGTGGTTATCAAAGGCCACTCGTGCCTACCTAAAATGTAGACTTCTATTTTGAAGCTTCTCTCTTCACGTTCCTTTCTTCTTCTTCTCTCCCCAGTTCCGTACGTGCATCATGCAGCTCTTTGGCAAGGCGGAAGACGATGGCTCGGAAGTGTCTACATCAAAAACAGAAGTTTCCACCGTGGCACCTGCATAAAAAAAAAAAAAAACCCAGACAACGTTGTACCTCTTGGAAACAAATCGTGGACCGTTCTGAGATTGTCCACATGGGACTTTTCAAATGTACAGTACACCCTCTTGTGTTTCTTAAACAAATCCTTTCGCACAACTTTTCAGGAGATTATTAAGCTTTACGTCGTACAGTTGTAATGTGTTTTAAAAAACAACATTAGCCACCAAAATTGAAAGGCTGTGGACCACCCCTTGAAGTTTCTATAATCCATGGTCTTCAAAATAACCAGAGTCGTGTGGCAATTGATATGCATACTATGTATCTATTGCAGTGGCACGTTGTGGGAATATGTATATATAGTCCTGTCAATGTCTGTTCAAGTGGGCAAAAAAAGTTGCCATCTTGGAAGGCATTCGCTTCACTCTGCAGTGGCTAAACTAGACAGAATCACAGCTGAGGAGAACTGAAATTAACTGCCATTGGAAATCTGATCATCACAAAACTATGTGAACAATTTATGGTTTCAAAATCCCTTACTTTATAGGTAACTTATGAGGTAAACATTTTGTAGCCCTCTTGCAAATAAAAAAAATAAAAAAAAGAATAATATAAAATAGATAATTGTGTATACAATGTATTTAACAATGTTTTTGTAGCCCTTGCAAATAAAAAAAAATAATGCATGCATGAAATGAGAATACCCTCTGGTCTCACTTTCTATCTGTATTCTCTGTGTATTCCCTGTTTATTCCCTGTTTATTCCCTGTTTATTCCCTGTTTATTCCCTGTGTATTCCCTGTTTATTCTCTGTGTATTCCCTGTTTATTCCCTGTTTAATCCCTGTTTATTCCCTGTGTATTCCCTGTGTATTCCATGTGTATTCCCTGTGTATTCCCTGTGTATTCCCTGTGTATTCCCTGTTTATTCCCTGTGTATTCCCTGTGTATTCCCTGTGTATTCCCTGTGTATTCCCTGTGTATTCCCTGTTTATTCCCTGTTTATTCCATGTTTATTCCCTGTTTATTCCCTGTGTATTCCCTGTGTATTCCCTGTGTATTCCCTGTGTATTCCCTGTGTATTCCCTGTGTATTCCCTGCTTATTCATTGTTTATTCCCTGTTTATTCACTGCTACCTGTTATCAATGACTGTTTACAGACCAAACACATAACACACCCCGTATTAACTCTCTGATGGGATAGAGATGATCTAACCAATCAGACGAAAGAACCAAAGTGATCCACCTTCCTCATTATTGGTTTGTATTTACAGCAGGAAAAGCTTGAACATAGAATTAAGCAAATGAAACAGCTGATGGATAATCACAAAACATTTCTTCATGGAAAATTACCATCTGGTTCAGTCTAATTTCTATTGACTCTGTTGAAGTGCTTTGTCATGTTAATGTGTTTAGCCTCCTTAGCCAATAGGGACAGGGCATAGAGGATCTAATGGTGTGTTGGTCACTGAGGCATTGTGACTCATCTCTCCAGAGACTGATGCAGGGGGTTGTCTATTTGTCAAGCATTAACTCAGTGTTTTGTGTTACTTTCTTGCTCGGTTGATTCTCTCCATGACTTCATTACTTCATTTCTTTCTTTATTTCAAGAGTGTGATTTCTAACATTGTGTTAAAGGCATAGTTCTCCCAAATTATAAAATTATGTATTGGTTTCCTTACTCTGTAAGCAGTCTATGGACAAGGTATGACAGCAATCCACGCTTTGCTTTAGTTTCCCTGGCACTGTTTCCACATGCTAACGTTTTAGCATTTGTGGCACAAATCAAATTCAAGTGATGGGACCGAATTCAGCATTTTTCGCGCATCAATCTATAATTGACTTTGTTGAGCTTTACAATTCATTTGAGATACTTTTGAATGATTTGGACATGACGCGCGAATAATGCTAATATCGGTCCCATGACTTGAATGGGATTTGTGCCACAAATGATAAAACCCTCGCGCTTTGCTTCTTCCTCTCGGATCGAACCCACAATCCTGGCGTTGCAAGCATCATGCTCTACGAACTTAGCCACATGGGACCAATAACCTTGGATGTGGGTTTTATGTTAATGTACACTACCGTTCAAAAGTTTGGGGTCACTTAGAAATGTCCATGTTTTCCATGAAAACATATATGAAATGAGTTTGAATAGGAAATATAGCAAAATGCATAGGATATGTAGTCATTGACGAGGTTAGAAATATTGATTTTTAATAGAAATAATAATTGTGTCCTTCAAACGTTGCTTTCGTCAAAGAATCCTCCATTTGCAGCAATTACAGCCTTGCAGACCTTTGGCATTCTAGTTGTCAATTTGTTGAGGTGATCTGAAGAGATTTCACCCCATGCTTCCTGAAGCACCTCCCACAAGTTGGATTGGCTTGATGGGCACTTCTTACGTACCATACGGTCAAGCTCCTCCCACAATAGCTCAATAGGGTTGAGATTCGGTGACTGTGCTGGCCACTCCATTATAGACAGAATACCAGCTGACTGCTTCTTCCATTGTCCTGTTGTAGGAGGAAATTGGCTCCAATCAAGCGCCGTCCACAGGGTATTTCATGGCGTTGCAAAATGGAGTAATAGCCTTCCTTCTTCAAGATCCCTTTTACCCTGTACAAATCTCCCACTTTACCACCACCAAAGCACCCCCAGACCCTCACATTGCCTCCACCATGCTTGACAGATGTCATCAAGCACTCCTCCAGCATCTTTTCATTTGCTCAGCATCTCACAAATGTTCTTCTTGTGATCCGAACACCTCAAACTTCGATTCGTCTGTCCATAACACTTTTTCCAATCTTCCTCAGTCCAGTGTCTGTGTTATTTTGCCCATCTTTAATCTTTTCTTTTTATTGGCCAGTCTGAGATATGGCTTTTTCTTTGCAACTCTGCCTAGAAGGTCAGCATACCGGAGTCGTCTCTTCACTGTAGACGTTGCCCTTTAAATACATCAGTTTGATTTCACAGAAGTGTGATTGACTTGGAGTTACATTGTGTTGTTTAAGTGTTCCCTTTATTTTTTTTGAGCAGTGTACATAAGTTATTCTGCGCTCTGGCACACAGACGAGAGTGCTCTGAAATCGGAGTAGATAGCCAGAGCGAATTTACGAATCTTTGCAACTCTGCCTAGGTCAGCATCCCTGAGTCGTCTCTTCACTGTTGACGTTGAGACTGGTGTTTTGCGGGTACTATTTAATGAAGCTGCCAGTTGAGGACCTGTGAGGCGTCTGTTTCTCGAACTAGACACTCTAATGTATTTGTCCTCTTGTTCAGTTGTGCACCGGGGCCTCCCACTCCTCTTTCTATTCTGGTTAGAGCCAGTTTGCGCTGTTCTGTGAAGGGAGTAGTACACAGCATTGTACGAGATCTTCAGTTTCTTGGCAATTTCTCGCATGGAATAGCCTTCATTTCTCAGAACAAGAATAGACTGATGAGTTTCAGAAGAAAGTTATTTGTTTCTGGCCATTTTGAGCCTGTAATCGAACCCACAATTGCTGATGATCCAGATACTCAACTAGTCTCAAGAAGGCCAGTTTTATTGCTTCTTTAATCAGCACAACAGTTGCAAAAGGGTTTTCTAATGATCAATTAGCCTTTTAAAATGATAAACTTGGATTAGCAAACACAACGTGCCATTGGAACACATGACTGATGGTTGCTGTTAATGTACGCCTATGTAGATATTCCATTAAGAACCAGCCGTTTCCAGCTACAATAGCCATTTACAACATTAACAATGTCTACACTGTATTTCTGATCAATTTGATGTTATTTTAATGAACAGAAAAATTGCTTTTCTGTCGAAAACAAGGAAATGTCTAAGTGACCCCAAACTTTTGAACGGTAATGTATGTTCATTTCAGAGAAGCAACAAAATATGTTGTTAAAAAAAGCAAGGATGGAGAGAAGAATAGTTTTCCATGATTTCAGAACATAATAACCATGGCAACATAATAACCATGGCAACATAATAACCATGGCAACATAATAACCATGGCAAGGTTTTCGGTCGGGAAGTAAAAATGTATTGCAAGCCACAATAGGGAGATTGAATGCTTCTTTTGGCAGAAGCTGTAATTTGCTCAATCTCGGTTAAGTGGCCATTTGAGATTTCAATTATGGGAAGTTTAAATGTTAATGGTCCTTACAAGACGCTAAAGCTTGATAATTAAAATGTAATCCAGACTCAGTTGTAAAGAGTCAAAGAGAGACGTGGGCCTTCTCATTTAGGAAGGAGAACTAAAGCTGAACAGACGCGTTTCATGAATACAGCTCTCATACCAATAACAAACTCACTGAAGGACACCAATGACACCAATAATCCTAAGAAAACACAGCAAGGCAATGTCATGGTGCAAAGTGGAAATGTTAAGGAATCAGAACGTTGATCTCATCATTCAAGGTGATAACAAACACAGTAAACAGTTAACAGTCCCTACAGTCACAACAACACACTGCAGTCTGAATACACACTGAGAGGAGTCACAACACACTGCAGTCTGAATACACACTTGGAGGAGTCACAACAACACACTGCAGTCTGAATACACACTGGGAGGAGTCACAACACACTGCAGTCTGAATACACACTGGGAGGAGTCACAACACACTGCAGTCTGAATACACACTGGGAGGAGTCACAACACACTGCAGTCTGAATACACACTGGGAGGAGTCACAACAACACACTGCAGTCTGAATACACACTGGGAGGAGTCACAACACACTGCAGTCTGAATACACACTGGGAGGAGTCACAACACACTGCAGTCTGAATACACACTGGGAGGCGTCACAACAACACACTGCAGTCTGAATACACACTGGGAGGAGTCACAACACACTGCAGTCTGAATACACACTGAGAGGAGTCACAACACACACTGCAGTCTGAATACACACTGAGAGGAGTCACAACAACACACTGCAGTCTGAATACACACTGGAGGAGTCACAACACACTGCAGTCTGAATACACACTGGGAGGAGTCACAACACACTGCAGTCTGAATACACACTGGGAGGAGTCACAACACACTGCAGTCTGAATACACACTGGGAGGAGTCACAAACACACTGCAGTCTGAATACACACTGGGAGGAGTCACAACAACACACTGCAGTCTGAATACACACTGGGAGGAGTCACACACACCTGCAGTCTGAATACACACTGGGAAGGATCACAACAACACACTGCAGTCTGAATAAACCACTGGGAGGAGTCACCAAACACACTGCAGTCTGAATACACAACTGGGAGGAGTCACAACACACTGCAGTCTGAATACACACTGGGAGGAGTCACAAACACCACTGCAGTCTGAATACACACTGGGAGGAGTCACAACACACTGCAGTCTGAATACACACTGGGAGGCGTCACAACAACACACTGCAGTTTGAATACACACTGGGAGGAGTCCAACCACACTGCAGTCTGAATACACACTGAGAGGCAGGTGTAATTGATTTGACAGGTTCTGGAGTCGAGGCGAGGCGAGAGATAAGAAAGAGGGAAGGAGAGAGAGTGGAGGAGAGGGAGGAGGAAGGGAGAAGAGCAAAGCGAAGGGAAGAGAGAAGGCGGAGGAGAAGCGGGAGAGAGGAGGAAGGAGACGAGAGAAGCAAGACAATGAGAAGGGAGGAGAACAGAGGCAAGAGAAGACGCACTAGAATGACATGAGACTACGAG